CTAATCTGCTTTCTGTTTCTGTGGATTTTCCTGTTCTGGGTATTTCATATAAACGGAGACTTTGTTTTCAAGATTCTTCCATGTTGCAGCATATGTCAAGACTGCATTCCTTTTCACGGCTGCATAATATTCTGTGGTAGGGATAGACCATGATCTATGTATCTACTCATCAGCTGAATATTGGGTCATCTCCACCTTGAGACAGTTACATAGAGTGCTTCTGTGAACACTCAAGTACAAGTTTTCATTTGAACACCTGTTTTCACTCCTTTGGGGTATGTGCCTAGGAATGGGATTGTGGATCATGATGTAATCCTATGTTTCACTTACTGAGGAACTGTCACACTGTGTTTGACAATAGTGGGACCATTTGTATCCCTCCACTCCACTCTCAGCAATGTGTGGAAATTCCAGCATCTCCACATCCGCACCATTTTTTTTAACTTTTTATTTGTTCATTTTAGTTATATATGACAGCAGAATGTATTTGGACATATCATACATTCATGGAGGAAATTCCTGTTCTTTTGATTGTCCATGGTGTGGGGTTACAATGGTCGTGTATTCATAGATGAACTCAGGAAAGTTACGTCCCACTCATTCCACTGTTCCCCCATCCCCCTCCCTTTCCCCCACTCCCCCATGTTCAGTCTGGTGAGCCTCCCCTCCCCCTACCCCCCATTATGAGTCAGCATCCGCATATCAGAACATTTGGCCTTTGTTTTGGGGGATTGGCTTATTTCACTTAGCATGGTATTCTCCAGATCCCCCCATTTACTGGTAAATGCCATGACTTCATTCTTCCTTCTGGCTGAGTAATACTCCATTGTGTATATATATATACCACACTTTCTTCATCCATTCATCTGCTGAAGGGTACCTAGGTTGGTTCCACAGTTTAGCTGTTGTGAATTGACCTGCTATAAACATTGATGTGGCGGCGTCACTGTAGTATGCTGTTTTTACATACTCTGCATATAAACCGAGAAGTGGGATAGATGGGTCAAATGCACCCGGGATTTTCTACTTTTTGACTCTGGCCATCCTAGTGACTATGAAGGGGCGACTCATTGCAGTCTTGATTTGCATTTCTCTGGTGATCAGTGATGTTTTCACGTGTTCATCGCCCTTTGTGTATCCCTGGAGAAATGTCTGTTCGGATCCTTTCCCCACTTTAGAATGGGATTATCTTTTTGCTCTGAAGCTGTAAGTGCATCTGGGTATTAGACTCTTAACAGGGATGATTTGCGAGAACTTTCTCCCTTTCTGTGTGTCACCTTTTCCCTCTCTTCGTAGCGCCCCTTGATGCACACATTTTTAATTTTGATGAATTCTAATTTATCCATACTTTCTTCTGTCGCTTGTGTTCTTGGTGTCATATTTAAGAAACCAAATCCAGAGTCATGAAGATTCACCCTAATGTTTTCTTCTAAGAATTTTATAATTCTAGGTCTTATATTTAGGTCTTTGACCCATTGCAAGTTAATTTCTGTTTATGGTGTGAGGTAAGGGTCTGACTTCATTCCTCTACACGTGGAAATCATGGTGGGTACTTTGATTAGCCAGTTAGAGGTAAGAACACAAGCCTGAGAGGCAGCACACGTCTTGTCCAAAGGCCACCATAGCTGAGAGGTGGGACCGGGGGAATTCAATACCAGATTTGACTCCCAAGCTGGTCCCCTTCCCACGCCCCCCCCACAGGCCCAGGAAATCAGATGGACATGCTCATGTGGCTCTGGACAACTTCTTCCTCCTCTCTGATCCTAGTTTTCTTTCCTGTACGGGAGCTGCTGGTCTCTAAAGGTCATTCCTGGCTTCCCTTGAGCCTCACGGCCCACTGCCTTTGTCTGACGTCCCCTTTCAGGTGTGCAGTGGGAGCCCTGCTGGCCAGGACTTTTCTTCCGGAAGGAGCTTCGTCCCAGGCCCCGACTGTGAGTGAGGTCTCATCGCCCCCCTTGGCCTCCTCTGGAAAGCACTCCCAGCCCCCCTGGAAGTTAAAGCCACAGTTCTGAGGAAAGGCAAGCTGGCTGGTGTGCAAGGGCTTCCCCGCCTGCTGACAGTTTTCTTCACAATGTCACAGGGAAGCTATTAGAGACTCAGCTTGCAAAGCACCTGCTGTAAATACCCCTCTCACGGGCCTCTTTACCCAGAAACGGCATCTCCTTCCCAGCCCCCACTTGAAGTCCTGAACCAGGCCTGACCCACAGTGGCGCTCGGGACACGGTTGGGTGGATGAATGACCAGAGGAGACAGCTGCACACTCTTTTGATGGCCGTAGCTCAGGAGGAGGCAGACTTCCAAAGGGGCCTATGGCAGCTACTCTGCTCTGCCATTGCAGTGCCATGGCTGATGCAAAAATGAATCCGACCGCTGTGTTACAATAAAACTTTATTTATGCACACACTTATTGTATTTCCAATAATTTTCATTCATTTCAAAGAATTTAGGTCTTTGATTTTTTTTCCAACCATTTAAAATGTAAAAAAAAAAAAAAACATTCTTAGCTCATGGTTCACATAGAAACAAATGTGTCAGGCTGCCTTTGCTATAGTTTGTATGAGTTAATAGTTTGCCAAACTTAGGCATAATTTTTTTTCTTAGTATAGGAATAATAGATATTCATTACAGAACAATTAGAGATCATTTGTAAATTGTAGTCGAGGGATGTGGTTCAGTGGTAGAACTATGGCCTGACATATATGGGGCCCTGGGTTCAATCCCCAGCACTGAAAACAAAAATCACTCAAAAGAAATCTGCAAATTGCAAATTAATTAATTAAAATAAAATTAGAACCACTCCTAATTTGAACACAGAAATCACTACTTCCAATGGGCACGTAGGTTCTCACTAGTCTAACCCTGTTCCTTACCTGTCCCTTACCTAGCCACTTCATATGTGACCATTAAAATCAGATACAAGTAAGGATTTAGTTTCTAGGTCCACTATTCATTTCAAGAACTCAGTGCGTACGTGTGACAGTGGATCCAAGGTTGGATATCCCAGAACAGAACATTTCTACCATCCTAGAAAGTTCTACTAGATAGCACTGATCGGTTTGTATCAACTTATATAGATTCAATAAAAAATATGACAATACCCAATGCACTGCTTTTCTGAGTACCTGTGTTCACCTACTATGTTAGAGTGACCTTCTGGACTACTCATTTTTCAGCACCTGTGTGTATTGTTCGATTTCATGCAATGGATTTCCCCTCTGGGTTCCTGCTGCACATTTGTTTCCAGTTTGGGATTCTAATAGACACAACGACAGCAAAGCACTTTATCCTCAAACCTTTGCACCCTTCATTGTTTTGAGGTAAATTAAAGGTTTGACAGCCAGGTCAAAGGGTAAGCCCATGTTTAGGAGTTTTTTAAAAATAGGAACGCCCAGTTTCTTTCCAGAAAGACAGTGATCATACTGCTATCAATAATACATGGAACTGCAATTTCTTGAAACCTCCACAAACAATAGCAATTATAGTAACAAGGCAATTTTTGTAGATGAAAAATTTCCATCTCTTTGTTTTAACTTGACTCTCCTTGACAAAGCGTTTTCTCCCGTGTTTGCCAACCATTTGATTTCTTTGGGCGGGTCTTTGGCCAGTAAAGGGAGGCCATCTGTGTGGCTTAGGTTTTAAGGAAAACTTGCTAGATTTCAACACCTGCCCCTTCTTTAAGTCCTTTAAGTTCTTCAAGCAAGGTGACAGGATTAACATGCCGAAGAGATTAGCAAAGCCCTCTCTATTTCAACAGACTGAGGGTCCATTAAGTTCTCTGTCCTTTTGAATTATCCTTATTTATTATTTCTTTGGGGTTCCTACAATCATGGGTCACCCTGGGAGGTGGTTGTTTGGTGGTTTGTGAATTTATCTACTTGGTTGACTTAAATTCATCTGAATTCCTTTACTCCTAGGATACAACCCTTCTTGTCTAATCAGATATAAAGCCACCTAGATTCCCGGACAGCAAGAAGGATCTGCCAGACCCCAGCCAACCAGAGAAACAGTTACTTGTGGTAAGGTGGAGTGGCAAGAGCCAAGATGTATTCTTCCTTGGCCCTTGAAGGTCTGGCATCTTCATTCAGCCATTCATCATGAGCACTTGACTGTACGTTGTGCTGGTGGGCGATTTTTGTGTCTTTGATTTTACCACTGAATGATCGTGACCTTTAGAACGTTAGGGGGTTATCAGTCATCCCCACGGTAGTATTAACTAGTTTTCACGCCGCCATTTTAATTGTATGAAGGCATCTTCAAGACATCTGGGTGTCGTTTGCACCCATAAAGGAGGTGCAATCATTCTGCCCATTGAGGATCAGGGCAGCGAAGTGACCTGCCCTGGATCTTGCAGGAGGAACGGTGGTCTGACTCCTAGTCCAGGGCTCTCGCGTTGCCCTGCCATGCACAAGCTACTGGTCTTCCTGATCCGATGGCCAGACGGTGGAGAGCGCATCTGGGAGGCCCGGGAGAGCGCTGCAGCCGTGATCCTGGGGAGGCACGAAGCTCCCCCCACCCCATTTCATATGGAACCGTCTGACTGGGACTCCAGGACACCCGACACCAGATTCGAGGCACGAGGCGGGGCTGGGGCAGCTAAACTCGCCCTCCGCGGGAAGGTCTAAAGCAGGAGGGCGAGGGGTTGTAATTGAGATCCAGTTAAATCAACCTCCAGAGCCGCCCCCTCCCTTAAACCAACCTCAGATCCCCTCCCCCATCCAACTTGATGGGGGTCCTCGGCGTCTCTTCTCCAGTCCCAGTCCCACTCCCGGCCCTCGCGCTCCCTCCTCCGGGACCCCTGGTGCCTCCCGCGGGAGCCCCAGTCTCCTCCACCCGCTGAGGCCGGACTCTGCCCCCGCCCCGCCTTCCTCCTCCCCCCGGGGGCGGTGGCCCGTGGCGGGCGCGCCCATTGGCTGCGGCGCGAGCGAGGGCCAGGGCCGGCAGCGCTGATTGGCCGCGGCGGCTCGGCGGAGCCTGGGAGCCCGGCGAGTCGCTGGGGGAAGCCGAGCAGACACTAGGCGCAGCCGGAGCGCAGATCGTGGACCCCGCAAGTCGGAGCCCAGCGGATTCGAGCCCGGGCCTGGAGGTAAGGACCAGGCGCCTGGTCGCGGGGGGGCGGGCTCTTGCGAGGAGAGCCGAGATGGGGTACTTCTGCTCTGCCCCCAGACTACAAAAACGGAGCATCTTCTCCCAGAAACGGGCCCTCCATCCTCCCAGGACGCGGAGAAAGAAAGGGTCTCTCACCCTCCACTGAGCAAAATAGCTCCGTTTTCCTCTCCTTTCAAAATAGCTCCGTTTTCCCTCCTCATGGCCCAGCTCTGAAATAGGATTGCCCTCCCGGATTTACCCTTTGGAATAGAAGGTTATCCCTACAAAGTGGGATCCAGGAACCTCCTGGGTATCAGAGCCCTCTTTGGAGATGACGCCCCTTCCCTATCCCAAATAAACTAAGTTTGAATCTCTTCCTTCTCCTCTCATCCCCTTCACAATGATGAGCGTCTTCTTAGCTCGTAGATAACAGTGTCCTCTCCCTCCCCCACCAGTGGAAAATATGGAGGTCCTGGGAAATAAGCCCCTCAATAGGACAAGGACATCCTGGGACAGAGACTCTGCAAGTCACCTTCCAACCCCATCCGCATCTCCCTGCATCCCCACCTCAGAAACCAGACTCTGGAAACCAGACTCTGGAAATGGATGATTCCCTGCCCTTCCCCACCCCTAAGAGAGGGGAAGCTGCCCCCTCCACTCCACTAAGGCACCTGGGGCTGTCCCCCTTCCCCCTGGAATGGGGATGTTTGAGGAGAGCCTTTCACACCCAGGAACAAGGCCGCGGTCTGGCCACAATCCCTGAATTCTCCACCTCTTCCTAACCCTTTCACCCAAATCCCACCCTAAGACCCCACACCCACCCTCCCACCTCTCTCAAGCTCTCCCCTCCCCGACCTCACTGCCCCACTGATAATCCCACCCCAGTTCCCTCACTCAGGGAGCCGGAGAGGACCTGAAGCCCTGGGCACTGTGACCCTAGGCCTGGAGACCCTTCTAACAATGGAGATGGCCTCAGGCAGCTGGGCCAGTGAGGACCCCCCCCACACCTCTACCAACACATACACACCTCCTCTGAGGCTGTCCTTCCTCCTCCTAGAGAAGCGGTGTCAGGGCAGAGAGGGGCTGCTGGCCCTCTTCCAAGAAACCCCCACTTGCTCCCTGGGTCTGCCCCTCAGATCTCCTGTGGGCATTGCCTAGCGGAATTCCCTGGGCACTCGGCCAAGAGAGATGGATGCTGCTGGGCCCATACATTTGTCTAGGGACAAAACTGGCTTTGCTCTTTTGGTGAGGCTGGACTAAGGCAGGATTCTGTGACCTAAGGGGGGCTTGGGGACAGCTCTCAGGTAGACCAGGTTGGTTGGGCAAGGGAGGGAAAGCAAATGAGTTTTGCCTTGTTCTTTGGAGCTGGCACCACAGCATGAAGTATAGAGAATGTGCTTCCTCGAGGCCAAAGATCGGCCCCGGGGAGAGGCAAACAGCCAGTCTAGCATCCTAAGACCTAAAAGGGATTCTGATGAAGGACTCCGACCCTTCCTCTGACAGTTGGACAAACTGAGGCACAAAGAGAGGAAGAGACTCGTTCAAGGTCACCCAGCCAGTAAGTGACAGAGCCAGCCACCGCTCCTACAGGGCCACAGGGTCCCCATGCTAGCTGCAGTCCTCACCTTGTCCCCACTTGTCAGAGGAAGCACCAAGGATCTGTAAAAGTCATGCAGCTAGGAATGGGCAGAACTGGAACTCAGAGCCACCCCCAGCCAGCACCTGGAGGAGCCCCTCGTGGGTGTCTGCATCCAGTGCTCATGGGTGTCTGCATCCAGTGCTCACCCGTCTGGAGGTCTCATTGAGCCCTCTGTGGAATCCAGGCTTGCCAGACTCCAAACTGGCCCAGAAGAGCAGAGCGCATCGGTGGCCATGTGCTGGGGCACTGCTGCCACTGCAGGGGCACTGCTGCCCCAGGAACTCCAGAGGGTCCGGAGGAAGTCACATCCCTTCCCTCTAGATAACCGCCCAGTCCCTCTGGTTCCCTGCTCCCTGCAGGAGTCTCATTCCTGCTCAGATCCCTGCATCCTTTCCTGCGGCACCAAGGGGGAAACTCTGTCTGCAGATCCCTAGGACCACCCAGCCAGGTAGCAGCAACCTGGTTCCTACCGATGGGAGAGTCAGGGGTAGCAGCTCTCCTCATTCCTACCTCTGCCCAGCTCCCAAGGGAAAGGGTCGTGATCATGCTTCAACTAAGAGCTGAGAACCAAGTTCAAGGTGAAAGTTCAGAGATGAGGACAGAGGTCCTCGGATCTCCAATCTGCCCCGTGGTGTGTGGTCCTAGGAAAATCTTTCACCTCTCTGTTATCATCCTCAGGGTTAAATGAGTTAATAGCTCACAGCTAATGGGGAGAAGCCATGATTACGATTCCAAGTGCAAAGTCATAAACCTTTAAAGCCAGTGGGTGGGGGCAGCTCCGCTTCCAGAACTCAGAACTTTGCTGTACATAATCTTGCCAGTGGACACAGCCATCTCTTCCCTGAGAGGCAGTGCAGGGTGTGGGCTTGACCTGGACTCCAAAGTCAGATAAAGCTGAGAGGAACCCCGCAGCTGCTCCCTGGGGCACCTGGAGCAAGCCCTTCCCTTCTCTGAGCCCCAGCTCTGCATCTCTGAAAGAGGTCTGCTGTAGGTGGTCATCTGATAAGAGAGGGGTCTAGATCAGGAGTCTCACCCTCCCAGGCTGACACTTGGGGTGAGCTCTTCCTTCCTGTGCATGGTGGGATGTTGGTCGTCCTCCTGGCCCTCTACAGGCGAGGTGTCCACAACACCACCTCTGTTGATAGAAAATGTCTCCACGTGTGATTGGATGTCCCCTCCTCACCAGGGAGAACCACTGGCCTGATGGGTGGGTGGAACACAGCCTGTGCGGAGCCAAGACCGCTTCCCCTCTTTGCAGAAGTTCCTGGCTCTGGTTTCTGCTTGACTGGGGGTTGGGGGGGGGTGGGCAGTTGTCCAGCTGCTGCGCCTCCCAGTGTAGTAGTCCATCACATCACAACTGTAGTCCATCACATTTAAAATAGCACTTGCTGGTTTCCAGACGCCCTTAGGTCTGCTACACTAGATTTGCGATTTTACAGACCAGGAAACCAAGGCTTTTAACTGAGGTTTAAAGACTTGCCTGAGGGCATCTGGCCTCCCTGCTTTAGAGGGTGAGAAACTGCCCAGGCCAAAGGAGCTTTAGAAACGTGAGCGCTCGGTGCCTTCCTAGGGAGATAATTGGCAGACTCTCCCAGAACCTGAACCTGCTGCGGGTCCTTGGCCCAGCAGCCCTGCTTCGAGGAATCTGCTGTGGGATGCTCACACAGATGACCTGGGAGTGTCCAGTGCAGGGCTTGGTCACACCCCTCTGGGAAGGGTTCATGTTCGGTGCATCCACGTGGGAAATGGACAGTGTTTCTAGAAGAATGAGGTAGATCGATGTTGCTGACACAATTTAGTGAAAACAGTAAAGTCACGGGATCAATACCTACAGGATCATCTGTGTAGGCTGGAAAAGAAGAGATAATTTGTAAGTACACATGAAAATGGATCGGTAGGGAACTGGGGGGCAAAGAAGAGACACATATATTATGTGAATGCGTTTTTGAGGGAAGAATAAAGAAAGGAACGCCCTGGATAGCTGTCCCTGCCCCGGCCACCAAAGTACAGCCCAAAGAGGTCTCGGGGGCTTGCCGGCACCAGAAGTTGCCAGCGGCAGAGATGGGGCCCTCTGAGCCTCCGGAGAGGCTGGGGCTGGAGAGACAGGACCTGAGGCCCCAGGAGGAGGAGCCTGCTCCCTTGCAGTGGGGGACCTCCTTCCAGCCCTGTGGAGGTGCAGCTGCTGTGAGACTGGCCCGATTGCTCCCCAGGTGTGACAGCCTCAGCCTAGCCACTCTCAGGACCTGTCTCCCTGGGTTATTGTGAGGATTAAATGGAACCTTGTGTTCAGGCCCCTGGTACACAGTCGGTACTTAATTAATGTGAGCCCTGATTTCTTTGCATCTGTCCAGTGCCCCCCTGCCCCTTGCCTGCCCCCTGTCAGGAGGCAGAGAACAAAAGCTTCCTAAGTGACAGTTGGGGAGCCTGGGGCCTCTGAGAAAGCTCACTGGGTTGAATCAAGGTCCCCCCCTCCATCTTGTCCCCTGCGCCTCCAGGAGGGAGCAGTTGGGGGCAGTAGGGCTGGGGCGGGTTCCCAGGGGAGCTGTGCTCCGGTTCCCCCTCCCTCCTGTCTAGCTCTCCGTGCCTTCTCCAGATGCTCGCGCATTGCAGGAACAGGTGACAGGGTGTGACCTCTAATTACAAGTTCCCTCCATAAGACAACTTTCCAACGGCAGATTCCCCTTCAGACCTTCAGTCCTTCATAGGAACATGTCCCTCCCCCTCCCTACCGCAGCCTCTGAACTCTGCCCACACCCAGCCTTCCGTGGTCCATCAGTGGTACCGGGTTTCCTTCCTTCTGTATACCTGGCAAGCAGAGATCACACCTGCTGCGGCCATCCCTTGTCCCAGATGCACATCACAGTTTCTGCCGTGTGACAGATAGTCAGGGAGCATTTATTGAATGCATTTTTTTTTTTTTTTTTGGTGGGAAAACTTGCAGAACATAAAATTGACCTCTTTTGTTTTTGTGGTACTGGGGGTTAAACCCTGGGCCTCGCACATGCTAGGCAGGTGCTCTGCCACTCAGCCACACCCCCAGCCTTTTTATTTTGTTTTGAGACAGTCTCACTAAGATGCCCAGGTTGGCCTTGAAGTTGCCATCCAGTGCCTCGGCCTCCTGGGTAGCTGGACATGCAGGTGTGCACTGCCATGCCCACTAATAGGCCACTGTAACCAATTTAAAGTACACAGCCCAAGGACATGGAGTACATTCAAATGTCCTGCGTCCATTGCCACTATCAAGTCCCAAAATATTTTATCACCTTAAAACTTCATGTGCGGTCCCCATTCCCTAGTCCTCGACAACCACAGTGGCCTCCTACCTCTGTGGATGTGCCTAGCCTGCATATTTCACATAA